CATTTATGGTTTGATTTCTTTGTATGTATGGATCACTTGGGTTGTTACCAACATCTGGTGAAAATTTCATGTCATTAGCATCTCTAGTAATATATTTACTGAGAAAAATATTGACATGTTTAATACTTATTTTACCCGCTGTATGTTTAGCAAGTACTAATCTACTTGAAGAAAATTTTTGGGGTTCATGTTACTGATTTAATTACATTGCACATACTGTAGAATGGGTTGTTTTATGATAGAACTGTAATGACTGTTAAATGTGACTTTTGTTGAACTTGATGAATATATATTAAAAGGTACATGCCTGATAACAAATACAACACATATTGAACTTTTAATCATTAGGATAGATTTCTTAGTAAGAGGGCAAGGCTCTGACAAGGATAGCCCCCCCCCCACCTCCACCCCCCAATATAGGTGGAGCGGGCAAGGCTCTGACAAGGATAATCCCCCCCCAATATAGGTGGAGCCATGCTTTTGATAAAATCTCTTGGTATTTCCTGATTCGGCCTGATTTCCCTGGTATCATTAAATCAGACATCAGCAGAGCTCTGGTTTTGAATGGCCGTTCTTTAAGACTCTCTCAATGCATTTGTACATTCTCTGCACGGTTTTCGCACACATCTTGGTAATGAATACTATTAACATCGTATTTCTTTCACACTAATAAATTTTAAAATTAGCAAAAGCCCTAAAGCACTAATCAGGAAATTAGTCCCCCTATTAGTGCTTTAGTGCTTTAGGGGAACTGTGCCCACCACTGGTTTTGAACTAGCCCCCAACACTCGCACCCCAGTGAAATACTAAAGATATGATTGTCAGATATTTTTCATCAGCTGGAGATATGTACTTAACACCAAAAGTAATTATTGTTTGGTAGATTATTTCTTTGTTGAAACAATGATTCTTGGCAGTAAGTCTTACACTGGGCAGCTGATTGGCAGCACCTGGGTGTACCAGAAGCTCAAAACAAGAGTCATCAGCAACAGGAAAATGTTTGACAGAAAAAAATTGGCAAATTTTTCATGTGAACAGCCCACATACTCAGCTCTGCTGCTCATCCCACAAATGCATGTTCTTTACAAATGTGGCACCATTTAAAAGGCAAATAAAGTAAAAATTATTGCCAATAAGATTAAAACGAATAAATAATCTACCAAATGCAAATTTCCTTACATTTTGTGCTTAGTTAAAATTCTTTCCTTCTAACTGAATCAGAATCAGAATCTGTCCCAAAGGGCAGACCCCAGGACAAAAGGCAACTGGATATTTTTCTCTTTTCACCCTTAGAGACATTTTACTTTTAATACCAAACTGAAAGGTTCCAAGCTTTTGATCTGTGTTGAGCTGCTTCTGCCTTGTGAGCTGAACCCACATGCAAATCATTCTTCCTTGCTCCTTCCCCTCCCTTCCTGTGGGTTGTTAACAGGGGCACGTTTTCCATGGCAGGCAGGGGTGGCACAGTGAAATTGCTATTTTAACTTTAGATTGCAATGAACACTAGCCCAACATTTGAATCATATAACTTTTTATTTACCTCAAAAACAACACATTGATGTGTTTTGCATGCTAGTACTAAGCAGTCCATTCAAAATCTGGGACATCCAGAACATAAATGGAAATGTGGATACATCACAGTCTCACTTAAACACCAAAAACAGTCTGTCTGTGCATGAGCTTTCAGTGTAAGAACTGCTTTAAAGCAGAGTGACAAGAGTTTCTGCATAAAGTTTGCAATACGTCAAGGATTATGACAGCTGTGTGTCTGTTTTTGTGTGAACAAAGTGATTGACAGCTCTGGTGGGGAATGGCTAAGCAAGGTGGCCAATCAGAATTCAGGGGTATGGGTGCCCTCCCTCCTGCCACCCCTGTGACCACACCTCGGGTTGTTAGGGTCTCGGTTGGCCTGGTCCACTGTAAAGTTTCATTCCAGTTCTCCCCCTCATGTGGACCAGTCCAAAGACTCAGGAAGGGATGGAGAATGATTAAGATGGCAGCGGCTGTGGAGCAGTGGTAACCATGATAACAATTCCCCACCTTGCCCATTCGTCACGGTGTCCTTGAGCAAGGACTTAAACCTGCTGCCAACTGCTCCCTGGGCTCGTACATAGCTGCCCGCTACACTTGTGTGTATCTGTGGTGGGTCAAATGTGAGCACAAATTTCACCGTTGTATAGGAACACACAATGATGACTGTATGTGGCACATTATTTATTTGCATGTGAGGTCAGCTTCAAGAGAGCAATTTACTGCAACTTTTCAAATTCACACTTTGCAGTTCGAACCAAGAAAACTTGTGTGAAACAAATGTCTGGCATGCTTTAACAGAATGCCTCATCTGCCACCACCTTTATATCACCGTTACAAATAAATGTCATTTAATGTTGAGAAAAAGTGGAAAGTTATTGATCATCTAATTACATCATGAAAATATGATATATCTGTTAGAACTAACAGAATGTCCTATAAATGATTATGAACCACGCCCCCGGCAACGTTCAAGTTTAATATGAAAAATTAACTTAGTTATTGCCATTTTTGTGTTTTCTAATGTTGGATTAGCTGTGGCAGCCATCTTGAATTGGCTTGACTTTAAAAGGTAATCAGTTATAGACAGAACTGAAATGAGCTAAAAATCTGAACCCACATCAAAAGTAAAAAAAAGAAATTTTGAAAGTTTCCAGAGATCACTTTAAATGATTTCAGGGCCTTTTTGGCTGCTTGTAAACAGACAGAAAAAGGGAATGACTTAAAACTTTCAATAAGTGGAGAAAGCAACTGGTTCTGATGTGAGCAATAAGTGAAAAAACTGTTCAAGAAACAGGATGTTTGCAACACAAGTTGCATAATTTCTTGGAACTCACTAAATTTATGTGTTTACCTACAGTCTAAAACTCAAAAGCAACAGCATGTTTTCTCTGATGGTTCTTTTTTCAAAAGTTAAGTAACGTCATGTTTTTTTGTCCCACTCAACCCACCAAAATTAAGAAAAAAATGTTAGTTTTTGACACTCTTAGGACAGAAACATCTTAACTTTCCAATCCTATGAACTATTTTTGTATTTGAAGACGACAAAAGAAATTACACACTTTGACATGAAAGGGTTATTAGAACCACATTGGAGCTGGACTCTTTTCTGCTGTCAGCTTCATGTTGTTAACCATAACGCTCAACAACCATAAATGACTGTAAAAGACTAATTTGTTTGCGAGCTTTTGTTCTTGATCAGTGCAACATTAGAAAAACGGTCAGTCAGATCTTCAGCTGGAGGAGCTTACCTTTTGAAGAAGCTGAAAAGAACAACCAGAGCAACGAGTAATCCTTCAGTTTGAGGGTTTGTGTCAGCCGGGAAAGTTAAACCAGGAGACTGGATGGTTTCCTCAGAGCGTGTGTTTCTCACTGAGCTGATAAAACTCGACTGAGGCTGGACATGACATCACATGCCTGCCTTTTGTGGAGCAACATCCCTGGAGAGTAATGATGAACACCCCAAAGCATCTGGTTAACAGCTAACAGATGTTTTATTGTCTATAGGGTGTAAATTATAAATATATGAGAGAAAAGGAATCTATAAATGATGTTTAATGTTTAATATCAAATTACTCATCCTAAAACAAACTGTTATAAAGACAATATAGTTGTCCATAGATGTGCAGCAAATACCAATCATAGCTGTATTAGAATATTATTTTGTTTATTTGTGTCATATTAATAATAACAGATTATTAATGATGTTTTCCTGTAATCAATTTAGATTTTTTTATAAAATAACAACTAAACAAAAAAAAGTTTACATTTATGAGCAACAGCGCCCTCTGATGGCTATTGCTACTGCCTAGCAATGACCACAAACAACTTTATTTATAAAGTGCTTTAACACCAGCTGCAGCTGAAACAAAGTGCCGAACATCTGTAAAAAATAAGATAAAGAAAGCATAAAAAAGACAGATAAGATCACTACCAATAAAAAAATAAAAATTAAGTAAAATCAAGTCTCAGTTTGGTTGAAGGCCAATGAGTAAAAATAAGTTTTCAGATGGGTCTTCAAAGTGGACAGTCTCCACTAACAACAGTGTTATTTACTGTCCGTGGTTTGGGAAGTCACGTCAACACGTTCAGTTACAGGGATTTTAAATGATATACAGAAGGTTATAGGTTTATATTTCTTGCTGCTGCTTAAAATGTTTTGTGTTGATTAAATTAGTGAAGTTTGCTTTAGATTTGAATTTTCAGGTGATTTATGAAATCACCTCTAATTCAAAACATGTGATACTTGTACTAATGCCAGGTGCTTTAAAATACGATTAAGATTTTGTGAAACCTGGACCACATCGCAGGTCCAGGTTAAAAATAACATCACTTAAAATATTAGAACCTATGCTGGATTGTTTTACACTAAACACTGATTCTTTTAAATACAGTTTGCAACTTGTGAAATCTTCATTCTACTTCTGAAAATACAAAAGCAATTTTAGTGTATTTGTTTTTCCCTTTGCAGGGATAGGATGTGCAGGAAAACTGGAGGAACACAACCAGCGATTCGGTCAGCTCCCACCAGAACCAGGCACACATGTTTCTGATCAGGTCCAATGGCCCGACAGCATTTTTACTCAGAGAGCACAGAGAGTCCCGGGAGTTAAAGATAAATCACTGATAATCTGGATTATTGCTCTTTGCTCAACAGAGAAGGGAACAAACAATTAAAAACAACTCATGCTGTTGTTTTTAGGTCTGCTTGAGTGACCCACAGGCATGCACCTGTTCTGTTTTCACCAGAGAGCAAGAGCCGTGCAAACACATCTGCTGGTATCAGTCACTCTGTCCCACACACACACACACACACACACACACACACACACACACACACAC